AAGTGTTTTTTCAATAAAAGCAACTTTAAAGAAAGAGTTATTAACCTGTGAATTATTAAGTAGAAATGTTGTCATTTAACTTGATTGGTGTATATATATGCAATTTTTATGTTTTAAAATAATTAGAGAGCAATGGTGTTAACTGTGTCTTTGCCATTGTTCGGACTGCAAGTGTAAGAGTTGTTGAGATGAGCAGACTTTACCATATGTAAAGTGTTTCTGTTTGAAATAACATAAATGTGACTTCATAAACCTTCAAATAAGAGTTAAATGAGGAAACTAATGCAGGAAGGAGTTTATACATAATTAACTTCAACTTCAACCAGAAGAATACAACTCCAGTGTTTCTTAAGGGTATACAGTATGTGTTTGGTAGCATATATCTAATATTTTTGATGTTACCCAATACAACCTCCAGTATAGAGAATTCTGGAGGGTATTAGACGGGCTCATCGCCTGGTCTGGCTCACACTTCACCACTGTAGAGATGTATGTTCATTTTTATCATGGTTATTATTATATTATATGGCGGATGATCACATTCTGGCACGCCTGCCTTACCTGCTGTACATTAAAACCTCCTATGGGGGCGCTCTAGCACAGAGTCTGGCTGAGTAGGCGGGTTAGCGCACAGTAAAAGAAGAGGCTGCCATATCGCAGTGATACAGCGACTTTAGCAGATTCAAGTGTGAGAGCGGAGCTGTGTTCCTGTGACCAAGATGCTTTCAGCGCAGACGTTTGAGAACCCGGGCAAAATGAAGGAGTATCACTACACGGGTCCCGTAGAGCAGCGCTTCTCCCCGTATTCTTTCAACGGAGGGTGAGTCTAATCTTCCCACTGCTAGCTGTCTGCTAGCTAACGTGTACGTCCAACCGCACTGTGCTAACGAGCTAGCCAGCTTAGCAAACGGAAACAAACAAAGGTAAACTAAATGAATACTGAGCGAACAGAGCTGCGTCCCCTTGTGCACGATGTTGTGTTTCTATTCATCTTGATGAACAGTTTGATATTAGAGATTACATGTTCTTATGGTGAAATATATTTCGACTAGTATCGCAGTTTCAGTTTCGAATCTATAGATTTAGCATTCGTTGGAAAGTGCCACAGACAGCAGAGGATTCCTTGTGTTGTGAGGTGTTTTATGAGATGAGTAAATTAATCCGTGTCGTGTTTTCTTTTTCCATTTTCAGAACTGTGCTGGCTGTAGCCGGGGAGGACTTCGCCATCGTAGCCTCAGACACTCGGCTGAGTGAAGGCTACTCCATCCACAGTCGGGACTCACCAAAATGCTACAAGCTGTAAGTGTCAGCGTCTCCTCCCTGTACTGTCATTGAAAGGAGTCAACAATAATGAAACACCTTTAATTAGTAAATAACGTCTCTAATTGATCTGTACTGGCTCCTTCTTAATTTGTTAAAGTCACTGCAGCTCCTGCACTGTTAGATGGGAAGTGTAGTTTTCCGGTGCCTGGTGATGCTTCTCTGATGATGAACTAACTCAACGTTGCTTCATGAGTTGCTGCTCTGACTTTGTTTGATTGTGGGTTTCTCACCTTACAGCACAGACACAACTGTCATCGGCTGTAGCGGTTTCCATGGAGACTGCCTGACTCTGACCAAAATCATTGATGCCAGACTAAAGGTGAGCTGATGATGGATGGGGTTTCACTCTCTTTATTCTGATTCTTAAAAGATATTTAACTCTATTGTCTCTGCTAACTGTCCTGCCCCAGCTTGTACACCAGCACTGTGATGATCAGAATGCTGTTTACACGAGGCTGATAGTCCTATTTGTCCTGTTGTTTCTTAAATGATGGACATTAATACTTTTCCCATTTGAATTCTTATAAAATTTACTACAAGAAACATTTGGAAAGACTGCGATAATTTTGGATATTTGTTCTGCAGGGTAGTTATTCATTGAACATGCACCTCATACTAGTCCCAAACAAAATCAATGAATCAATAAGGACTTCATCTTGGTTTTTTATTTCTCTTTAAATTGCTGAATTATATTCTGCACCCTACAAGGAGACAGAGTTTGCTTAATTGTCACTAACATCTGAACCAATGTTTTCTCTCAGACGTACAAACACTCAAACAATAAGACAATGACCTCCGGAGCCATCGCAGCAATGTTGTCTACCATCCTGTATGGCAGGAGGTTCTTCCCCTACTACGTGTACAACATCATTGGAGGACTGGATGAGGAGGGTAGGTGTTTAAATACATCAGCCAGTAAGATGCAAAAAGTTTCGATTTATTGATACTTGATTCTAATATTTTGTGTCATTGTATCACACATTGAGGTTGAATTAACTCTGTGTCTAAATTGGACACTGCAAAGCTTTCACTGCGTCCTTGTAGCAACTGTTTTTATTTGTAACATTTGATATCTGTAACGTAGGTAAGGGAGCAGTGTACAGTTTTGATCCAGTGGGCTCTTATCAGAGAGACACCTACAAGGCTGGAGGATCAGCAAGTGCCATGCTACAGCCGCTGCTTGACAACCAGGTAGATAAAATACACATATTTCTCATAATCTCAAGCTTTCTGCCATTAGATATACAGACAATCAAGTGTGCAGTGCTCTGAAGTTTCCTTATAGTGGATGAAGTACATTCATGTCTCATTCTCTCCAACACGATCTTCCCCTAGATTGGTTTTAAGAACATGGAAGGTGTGCAGCATGTCCCTCTGACTCAGGACAAGGCAGTGCAGCTGGTCAAAGATGTCTTCATCTCGGCTGCAGAGAGAGACGTCTACACCGGAGACGCCCTTCGGATCTGCATTGTCACCAAGGAGGGCATTAATGAGCAGACAATACCTCTGAGGAAAGATTGAGGAGTAAAAATTAGTTTTCCATTTCTCTGCTTTCTTCTTCAGTCTGTTCTTTCCACATTCAGCCTGTTGGTTTGGCCTCTTTTAGATCATGTTTCTTCAAACATGAGTTTTGATTCAGAAGTTGCTTCAAGTGGTCTCTTATGTGAGGCTTTATGACATCCTTGCTTTTATCAGCACTCCTGTTCTGAGAAGCAAGTTCTTCACCCACCGTTCCCTTGATTCTGCCTCTGTCTGGATTTTTCCTTATGTTTTGGAAAGACACATACTCTGCTAATCTTTTTACATTCTTAATAAATGTAAAGAATTGAAAAGTCTGCTGCTGTTTTTACTGTCATTGTTTACACTCTTTATAAGCCAAAAGATAATGGGGAAAAAAAATCACTGCCAACAGCAGAAAAGGCAAATAAGTGTTTTAAATTTAGGACAAGGTGGCAGATACCAGTACTAATATATTTAAAAAAAAGCAGAAGAGAAGTGTTGAATACTTTTTGTGATCTGTAGTATTCCTGCTTCTATTTGCGGTACTTTACCTTTCATGGTCTTAACCTATGAAGTATCGATTGACATGTCTTACATAGTATTTAAAGCAGAACAAAATTCTTGGTCAACAGATCTGATGAGTCCTTTAATATTTCAACTTTAAATTGTTTATCAGATTTTTTTTACCCCCACAATTTACTCTGAGGATTAAGACAAAACATTTTTGCAACACTCCAGATCACAGAGAAGGTTGGACAAGACTTCTTCACGTGTGTAGTTTTGGAAACCCAAGTCCTGGTAATGGTTCAATGTCATCTCTTATTCCTATGAAGACAACTGTCGGTAGTGTCCTTTCTCAAATTGTAAACTGAATTAAAAAAATTGAAGAGCAAAGAACGTTAAAATTATGTAATAAACTTGATTTAAATTCAACATGAGAACTGAGTGGACTTGCACAGATGTTTGGATACAGAACTAAGACATCTGATAAAAGGGAGATGGAAGTGAGAGAGTTTTGTGAACTGAACACTCAGGGAGCCTTGTTGTGGACAGGTCATGGGTGAATTACTGTAGATGAATGAAAAATTCCATGGGTTCAAATTATAAGTATATGGTTATGACATATTCCAACTGTTAAGCTTTGAGCTAACTGGCTTTGTAAACTTTTGCAGAATCATACGTCTCAAAAGTACAAACAACAAATTAAATGATTAGGTGCACTGAACAGAGAATGTGACATTAGACACCATCCAGTGGAGTCGTCACCGTCACCTCATACTCTGCCTATACTATGCCTAAAATACAGAATTTCACACTGCAGAGACGAAGCAGGATATAGACTTGAAATATCAGTCTAAAATCTACCATCAACATTTTAGACATTATGTTGCAGTAAATGTCTGAACACATCTGACTGTGCAGAAACGACAGAAGAATGAGTAGCAGACGTGATTACAGAAGTTGGGCAGCAAAGTTTAATGTTGTCCAATTGAATCCCATCAAATGAAATGTGATTTGATCAAATCTCAAAATAAATCTCATAAATGATTAAAATGTGTAACCAGTCAGCAGCACGGTGGGCACTGTTGTCTTTATCACTTCATACTGACTTGATATTTAAGTGAGGACATTTAAGTAGCTTGTGTGAGGACAATCTATTCAACCAAGACAATGAGAGAGGAAATAATTTATAATCTAAACAAAGTCTTGACACTCAATATAACTTTTTGGGTTGAACTAACTGATGAATTATTTCATAGTAGGGTTAAAATTTTCAAAGGAGGGAAAGATAATAATATATCAACAGTAATGTAATAAGCCACAGCTAAAGAACATCATGGTGTTTGTCCCACACCGAGACAGGTCAGATTGTGTCCCAGGGCAACTCTGTGTGAAACTGCTGATCAAATTTACAGCAAAGAGAAATGCAAAGGGCCAGTTCCTCTGGGACTGTGTCTTCTTCTGGGCTGACTTTTCCCTGTTCAGGATTCACCATTGTGTCTATGATCAAGACTGTCTTGTTAAGAGATATTGAGACAAACATGATGAAGAGAACTTGGTTGTTTAGGTGTACTTAAGGATTTATTTCATTAATGACCTGACTAAAATTATATATTATGAAATAAAATTCAGAAGACTCAACCTTCCTCATTTAGCTGGAAGAAACACAACAGAACTTAAGAGATTTTGCTTCTTTTTATTAACTCAAGTTAATTGGCAATTGTAACAAGTGTTTACTCAGCAAATATTTGAACAATCAAAGACTCTCTCACACACACAAACAGAGACGGGCAATGTCCTCAGGCGTAGTACTGGAGATTTGCCTTCTTCTTTGCCTGGACCTCCAGGATTCCCTCCATGTAATCCTCATGATTCAGCTCTGTGGCTCCACGACGCAGCGCGATCATACCAGCCTCTACACACACAGCTTTGCACTGGGCTCCGTTGAAGTCGTCGGTGCAGCGAGCCAACTCCTCGTAGTTAACGTCTGGACTGACGTTCATCTTGCGGGAGTGAATCTGCATGATGCGAGCTCTGGCCTCTTCGTTAGGCATGGGGAACTCAATCTTTCTGTCAAGACGACCCGAGCGGAGCAGAGCAGGGTCCAAGATGTCCACTCTGTTGGTCGCAGCAATCACCTGAAAAATATGCACAATATCACTGTAGTAAAACTGTTGTCATCATATTGAAGACTTTTCTTTTAAATACATGAATTTGAAGACATTTCTAGATGTAGTCTTTTATATGTACTTGTCACAGTTTGACATTGTTGATGTGTAGTTTGTTCTTGTCTCTACCCATATTCACCCCTATCCTAGTTGGATAATTGATTTGATATTGTAATCAATAGTGTCCATTTAGAATGAGATGAATCTGAAAAAGAGCTTGTTTGTTCTCTTTGGCTGGTCTTAGATATGGCTCTACATTAATTATTGTAATAAAAACACTTCTGTCTGTCCACATTACATGACAGAGTAATTGGAGTGAGAATTTTGATTGATCTGTGAAGTTTGATGAGAGAATTGTGTATCAGAATTCCATCTAATCATACAGAACCAGCTTGACTTTCCCTGGAGTTCAGTGTGATCAGCAGTCATATACAGACTGTGTATCATAATACAACTAAAAGTGTTCCTCAGAGGTTTTTATGAGATTCCTCACCTTGACCTGCATGTTGGGCTGAAATCCATCCAGCTGGTTGAGCAGCTCCAGCATGGTCCTCTGCACCTCTCTGTCTCCCGCCTTCTCGCTGTCAAACCTCTTGGTTCCGATGGCGTCCAGCTCGTCAATGAAGATGATGGATGGAGCCTTCTCTTTGGCCAGGGCGAAGGCGTCTCTCACCAGCTTGGCTCCATCTCCGATGAACATCTGGACCAGCTGGGGACCGGCCAGCTTCAGGAAGGTGGCCTTGGTCTGAGCAGCGCAGGCCCTAGCCAGGAGGGTCTTCCCTGTGCCAGGTGGCCCATACATCAGGACCCCCTTGGGTGGCTGGATGCCCAGGTTTTCGAACTTCTCTTTGTGGTTCATGGGCAAGACTATTGCCTCCACCAGCTCCTGGATCTGCTTGTCCAGCCCTCCTATGTCGCTGTACTGCTCTGTGGGGCGCTCGTCCACCTCCATGGCCTTCACCCTGGAGTCGTACTCGGTGGGTAGGGTCTCCAGGATCAGGTAGGAGTCTTTGTTGACACCCACCAGGTCTCCGGGCTTCAGCTTCTCGGCGTCCACCAGCCCGATCACCGGCAGGAAGTAGGTCTGTCGTGTGGAGGTCTTTATGACGGCACACTTTCCTTTCCTCTGGGAGTCCAGGTCCACGTTGGCCCCGTCCTCCTCCTGGTCGTTGGGGTCCACATCCAGCAGCTCGATGACGTTCGACACCAGGTACGGCAGCGTTTTGTTCACCTTTATCTTCTCCGTGTTTTCCTTGATCTTGTCCTTCATGGCCTGCAGCTCGTGGGTCACCCTCTGCACCTCGCTGTTCATGATCTTGATCTCGCTGTCCAGGAGCCGAGTTCGCTGGACGATCTCCTCCGTGGACATTTTTAACACTTCTTCGCCGATGCCATCCTCCACCTCGTCCCAAACTGACTTGTCACTCAGCGACGCCATCTTTGCTCTGTCTGCGCTGTGTGAACTGTGACACAGCGGAAAAATAAAGGTTCCGCTTCCGGTAGCAGCAGCCAAAGAAGAAGAAGAAGAAGAAAAAGAGTACTTCTCCTGAGCGCCGAAGAAGAAGTTAGCTGAAAATGACACGAGCCTGGAGCTGAACTGAAACTGTTTCTCTGCTGGTTCCAACTGCGAGAGAGAGACTGTAAGTTTCCTGTCAGCGCACTTTGAGCTTTTTAGTCTGGAGTCCTCTTACAACGTCGCTGCTTCCATTAAGGCCGCAGCGTGTCGGACTTACGACTTCACGTTAGCCGGTGCAGCTAACCTTAGCAGTGCGGCTAACCCCAGCTAGCCGCTGTGTTGATGTGGTGCGCTTTGGAGGCTTCCAGACATCCTGCTGGGAGCCTGCTCTGGTTTCAGGTGCAGATGAAATCATCGTCCGTGTTTTTCACTCTAATCATCTGCAGGATGCATCATTAAGAGCAGAGTTAACATGCTAATGCAATGCGAACATTAACGCTAAGCGGGGGTGACTTGGTTAGGAGGCGCTGGATGTGTTGGCGCCAGAGCCGCGGCTTCGTATCAACTGTCAGTTATTCACTCAGCTTTGATTGTGCACGGTGATAAACACGTGTCAGTCTTTCAAACGTGTTGTCGCTGGTTTTATTTCAGGAGCTGCATCGCTGTCAGAGGACACACACCACGAGACTGTTATTGTGGAGTCCAGCCTGGTTGTTTGTGTTTGCTGCAGAGCTCTGAGGCCGCAGCTGCGAAGAGGTGCCCCTGCCTGCTCCTGGTGGCAGTGATCTAACGTGAGGAGATGGACCAGAACAACAGTATACCAGCCTTCCAGGGTCTGGCCTCCCCTCAGGTAACACGTCCTTTCATCAACAGGTGCTTGTCCTCAGCACGGGGTCAGGTGTTCTACCTCAGCCGACTAAGAGCTGACCAGCACATGTCAGCATGAATTTATTTATCTCTCTCTCCACCTCATCTCTCTCTTCTCTCCCCCGCTTTCCACCCATCTSTCCTTTCCTCCCCCCTTACTTTTCTTTCCTCACCCCAACCGGTCGAGGCAGATGACCGCCCACATTGAGCCTGGTTCTGCCAGAGGTTTCTCCCTGTTAATGAGGGAGTTTTTCCTCTCCACAGTCGCCTGTGTAAAGTGCCTTGAGATAATGTAAATTATGAATTGGCGCTATATAAATAAAATTGAATTGAATTTATATCGCACATTTAAAATAACAAAGAAACAGCAACAGGCAATTCATCAAATACCAATAGAAAAAAGAAAACAAGAATAGGACAGAATGAAATAAAATTAGCTTCGACAAAAATGTTCTCAACTTGGAAAAAGGCCAAGGAGAAGAGATGTGTTTTTAACACTGATTTGAAGTGTGCTAGAGAGGAGGAAGATCCAATGTGGAGTGGCAAGACTAAGCTGTTCCATAAGTTTGTGGCGGCTGCTGCAAAGGCTCGATCGCCTCTGGTTATGAGCCTTGTTTAAGGCAAGTCCAGGAGCAGCTGAGTGGCTGACCTCAGCTTTCTAACTGGAGTGTGAACATGAAGGAGTTCAGCTGGGGAAGGCGGTGCCAGTCCATTAAGAGATTCAAAAGTTAATACAATTTCAAAGTCAATCCTGTGACAAACAGGAAGCAGTGGAGGGAGCGCGACACAGGTGTTATGTGGTCCCTCTTTTTCTTACCTGTCAGGAGGCGATCCATATTATAGACCCCACAAAGACCTGGCATCAACATCCTGCTTTGAAAGGGGCCTATACTGGGAGAAGTATGAAGCTCATGTAGACCAGTGAAATAAACTTAGTTGGGTGAACTTGTCCCTGGAGATGAAGCAGTTGTGTCATATAATGTCACAAACAAGATTTATTCTTCGTGTCGGGCCACATTCACAAACACACCTGATAGATAGCTCAATACCTTGGCTATGAAGTTGCACTGAACTCACAGCTTACAACAGATGATTGCACACTGCCAAACCATTTCTACAATTCATTGTATGAAATAATAGAAAATAACAAACCAACTGAAACATATGCCTATAATGATGAATATCTTTGAGTCATAGTCTTCTTATATCAATGCCATCTTGATTTGATTCATGTAAAGCAAACTGAAAAACAGTGACAATTGCAATATATTTTGGTCAGTGTCATTCGTTAATGTGGTTCTTCTGCTAAATCTAAACTTGATATTGTTTTGATGTTTTTTTGTGCAGGGTGCCATGACCCCAAGCATGCCAATCTTCAGTCCCATGATGCCATATGGCTCAGGCCTGACGCCCCAGCCAGTCCAGAACACCAACAGTCTGTCTATACTCGAAGAACAGCAGAGGCAACAACAACAGGCGCAACAACAACAGGCACAGCAGGCCAACACAGGTACAACACACACCACTGTCAAATCCCTGTCAGTCTTCTGCCATGCTTATGATGTTGGATGATAACCTCATATCCCTGGAACTGGTGTCTTCCACATTTATCCGTAGAAATTAATTTATCATTTAAGCCTTATAAAATAGTGAAACTTTATCATCACTTCATACTATATTTAAAAACATAATTTGCTCTCTAGGCCTTCCGGGTACGTCAGGGCAGACGCCTCAGCTTTTCCATTCCCAGACAGTAGCTGGTACAACCACCACAGCGCTACCAGGGAACACCCCGCTCTACAACACCCCGCTGACTCCCATGACCCCCATCACACCGGCCACACCTGCCTCAGAGAGCTCTGGAATCGTACCACAGCTACAGTACGTTAAATAACCAATGGAATTGCCATGAGTGCCATTTTATTTTGCATTAATACTTTCTGAGGCTGTTCTGGGGTCATTGCAATTTTAGTTTTTATACAGATGTTTTTTTATTTCCAAAATTAATTAGACTGCCATTATTTCCTGCTGACTTCTGACATAGTGACTTAACTGTTCTCTGTACTTTTCTTACTCTGCTACTATCAGAAACATCGTATCCACTGTAAATCTGGGGTGCAAACTTGACTTGAAGACCATCGCCCTGAGAGCCAGGAACGCAGAGTACAACCCAAAGGTGAGACTGAAACGAATATTTTACTCAACAGTTCCAAACAGTCACGTATTTGTTCTGGCTTCCATCTGTGGGGCTTAAAGTTACAGTTAGATGAATCCCCGGCTATCCTTTAGTCATGTCATCTTGCTTATATTTCTTCCTACACACAGAAATGACAAAATGGAGAGGACAATTCTGCCATTATGTATATACTGGAGATACTTACAGTAAACATCCCACACAACTTCAATGGGAGGAACTCTAACAGTTATGGGAATCATCATTCTCTTGCTTCTTTTAGCGTTTTGCTGCCGTCATCATGAGAATACGAGAACCCAGAACCACTGCCCTCATCTTCAGCTCTGGGAAGATGGTTTGCACCGGAGCCAAGAGGTCAGAATGTAGCTAGTTTGAAATTCATGTGCATGTTCATGATGAAAAGCCAGATGTTCACAGCATCTGTCCTTAGTGTCCTTAATAGGCAAAATAAAGATTTTCAGCAACACTGAGATAAAAGCCATGCAAGCTTTGCCTTTCTTCACCTCAATACAAAATTATATAATCAAGGTTTCTCCATCAGTGTTCTCTCTAATCTGCTTCTCATCAACTCACCTTCTCTCCAGTGAGGAGCAGTCGAGATTAGCAGCCAGGAAGTATGCTCGTGTGGTGCAGAAGCTCGGTTTTCCTGCCAAGTTCCTGGACTTCAAAATTCAAAACATGGTGGGCAGCTGCGATGTGAAGTTTCCCATCCGACTGGAGGGCTTGGTCCTCACACATCAACAGTTCAGCAGGTAACTTCGGATTGTTGCTATATGCTGTGCAGTCATAGTCCCTCATTACTGCTTCAAAGGCTTATTGATATGTTGAGAACATCATGTTGTCAAGAGATCTGTGACTGATGTTAACAATAAATGGGATTTATTCTTGTCTACATATTGGAGTTTGGCCCACACCATCGCTTGAGAAGTTTACACCCACTGAAAACTTTGACTTGATTAAAATTCAAATGACATTTGGTATAAAGTTTACAGTGTTTTCAGATACACATGCTGCAGACTTTCTGTGTTTTTGTTTTCCATGTTATGACTAAAACAAAGTGACTTGTCTTTTGCAGTTATGAGCCGGAGCTGTTTCCAGGGCTGATTTACAGGATGATCAAACCCAGAATTGTCCTGCTCATCTTTGTTTCTGGGAAAGTTGTACTCACAGGTAAAACCCGTTCGACTTCACTCACTGTTAGTTGTAGTTCAGATCTAGAGCTGGTCATATTGGATCATTGCAGATATATTGGCATCAATGTATATGTCAGATAATAAATAATAATTTACAGTACACCAATGTCAAACTAGATAATGAGTGAATTTAAATGTTTCGGTGAACTCTTTAAGAGTCAAACATTACATAATTTGTCCACTAGAGGGCACTAAACATTTTAAGGGAGACATCCAAATTGTTGCTCGAGGATTTCAGCAATGGAACTGAAAACATAAAATGAAAAAATGTAACTGGATGTAGTAACTTGTTGCAGTTATAATATGTGTTGTTTTCTTGTTAAGGTGCCAAGGTGAGAGCAGAGATCTACGAGGCGTTTGAAAGCATCTACCCCATCCTTAAAGGTTTCCGCAAGACAACGTAGGACCTGTAGTTTTCTTTTTACCATCTCCCCAACCCAGTCTCTTTTACATGGATTTTATAAAGATACGTAAAAGTGTCCTCTACATGAAGACCTCTACAAGTGGACTGCTCTAAGGGCTGTTGTGCAGGGATGTGAATTGGTCACCTTTCATTTTTTTTGTCCTTCCTCTTTCCTTATTTTTTTTTTTTTTTTTTTAAGAAAAAGGACTTTTTGACCTTTGTTGAAGAGACGTTTTCCCGTGTTTTGACCCCTTTCCATGTATTTCCAGCTGTTTTCAGTTCAAGCTGAGTTTTTCAGATTGTTTTGTCATCCTGATCACATCCCTCATTGTACATAAACTGTAAAGAAAATTTAAAAATCGATGAATGGAAGAGAGGAGTCTGACTGGGAGTAGTGCTGTTCTTATTTTATGCATTTTTAAATAGTTTTCTACATTGCATTTTTAGTACTTGTCTGCTCTGTCTCCCAGTTACATGAAGGTGTGTTCAGGTCTGTCAGCCCCACATTCCTATCACAGTATTTACTGAGATTTTTAGTTCCTCAAAATTGTGAAAGTTTAAGAGTTTTATCCATAAACCAAGCACAAATCAATCTGATCTGGCTCCAGCATAGTCCTACTTTCATAAATAATGGAGATAATGTTAACGTGAGACATAATAATCTATTGTTAGTCTGCTGTCGGAATTTGGATGCTCTTTCATTTTGAATCTGATCGAAGTCCTGCTGCTGTGTCTCCTGTCATCCTGATTCACAGTTTTAGAAAAAGACCAGGATTGTTACAGGAAACCTTGTCTATAAGACCAATCAGAAAATAAAAAATAATTTTATTTTCTTTCAAGAAATTCAGAGGAATTCAACCAAATTGGAAATGAGTAAACCCTCTTAGTGTCACGTGGAACAAGAGGCACACTATTACCCATCCTGCATCTTAAATTCACGAGCACTAAACGACAGGGTGACAGCTGAATAACTACAAATTGCCATTGTTAATGTATTTTCAGGTTATTCTTTGCATTTTTTTGGCCATTTCAAAACTGTATTTAAACAATTATGATTTTTGAGCACTAGCAAATGTGAATCTGTGTTGGTTGTTCACGTTCTTTGTTCAACCAAAAATCTGCATTTAAATGAGTCTAATTTTGGGGCACTGGTTTCAACTGGACACATCCTTGATAATGATGTAAAAGTTTAGCAATTAAAATGATTATTTTTTATTCACAATGTATCTGGTTTCACCACGTTTGTGTATAAGTCTCCTAATATTTGGACGGACAACTCTGACGAAGACATGGGGTTAAATATTTCTCTTCTGCATGAGTATGAGCCCCGTCACATTTAGATGCAATTCTGCTTCTTCTAAAATTGTTGATGCTCTGCACTGTGCATTAATAAATGTGTACATACTGACTGTTGTTAAAGCTGCTTCTTTCATTACAATAACATTTGGATACACTCATACTCAACACCTTTGGTTCGGGGGGTGGGCTTTTTCATGGATCTTGATGACAAATCCATCATATTTAAGGGATTGATATCTGAGTGTGAAATTTAGCGCAGCTTGATTGAATTGAAGGTATGAGCTCTGCCTGGTGCTATTCTAGTTGAAAACAGCATGTTTATTGAGATTTTCTTTCCTAAACAATGTGTGCTCAGTATTTGTGCTGAACTACGACTGTGCAAACAGAACCACACACTTGTGCAGAGCAACACTAGTTTACTGACTAATTAACATGTCTATACTTCTGCTACTCTTTAAAGTGGATTTAAATATTTATCTAAACATTGTCAATTGTTTCTTTGTTGGAAAATTCAATAAAAACCCTTTTGAAATTTTGTTTTGCTAAATTAGTTACAAACTAAGATTTATTTTCAGCATGATGGGAAACAAGTGCAGACAGAAGGGTATGATGTTGTCCCCTCGCTGGAGATTGAACCATGGATGCTGTGGTTATGTGGGTATCTGCATCTTAACCAGTTGGCCCCCAGAAGCCCCACAAATCTGATCTGTGAGATATGAAAAAAAATAAAATGTATAAATGCTAGTTGACAAATGAAAATGCCTCATGTCTTAAGCGGTGGTTTATTTTCAATGTTTGTCACTGAAGCACTGAAAAATACAGAGAATCAGATGAAGGGACATCGTTAAAATCTCTGTGATAAGGCACAAGCTCATGATGGATTTCCTCATCAGCTCCAGTTCACTGATCTGTTTCAACAGCATGAAGCAAGATGAACACAAGCTAATACTCACATAGGTCCGAAACACCACTGACACTGTTCTTTACAACCAGAAATTGTGATCATTCAAGAAAATGTTTAGAACTGGAACCAGGATCCAGAAGCCCTGTTTGAATATCTGAACTTCTAATGAAATACATTTTATTAATTTATTTCTCTGTCTGGACACAGAAAAATAAAATGTACAACAGTTCCTCATAAAAAGAAATCTGGGAGAAATCCAGACAGTGAATATCTGCTGTTCAACATTCTGCTGGATACAGAAGGAGTCTGATCACTCAGTCAGTGGCCTTTCACTCATTTTAACATTTGATCTGTTTATCATCACCAGTTATGTAAGAAGAGCTGCAGCACACGTCCAGTTCACTACGTGGGAAGTGACATCACTGCTAGTGTGACGACACCAGTCTCCTCGCTGTTCAGTATGAGCTGTCAGATGTTATGAGTGTGTTATCAGTGCGTGTTGATCCGAGCTGAAATCCTGTTTCCAGATGAACTCGGGGGAGTACTGGTCGTCACGGTTACAGCTGGCCGAGCAGGTGTAGATGGTCACAGTACCCCAGTCGATACTGGCTCCTGTCGAGTCCACACGTAGACTGTTTAACAGCTGGGGCATCACCTGCACACACGCACACAATTATTTTGAATTATTATTACACTTATCAAGCTCCAACAGATAAATACTGTTTCCTGTGTGGAGACACAGACGTTCACATATGATGTAAAGTTTTTAATAATCCTCTTTGACGGTAGTTTTTTTATCCTTCTGGGTATTTTATTGTAGCACACATATTCAACTATTTATGGTGTTTAATTATTGATCCATTCTATGTATTTATTATTGTAAATGTAAAAAATTATTTTGTATTTATTTGAACTTTTATATAACTCTATAAATATACACTACACATTCACTATGTATAATATTATCTATTATTCAACCACACTTTGTTATAATCTATCTAATTTTATAAACACATTTTTTATACTTGTTGTAAAGTCTTTACGAGAGCAGATGACTGAACATTTAATGAGCGGTGTCTACCTGAAACTCAAAAGTCCTCTTGGCGCCACAGGTGCATGGTGGGATATCCTGATCTGAAGGGATGTGCTGGGAAGACACCCACAGGGGAGAACCGCCTCGACTGTAGCGAACCACCTGAAACACAACCAGAGGAACTGATCCACTTCAAACTGCACATCATCAGTGTGAGGAGTGTCCAGTGTTCCTTCTGTTTTTCGACATATACTTTGGATTTATTTTTACCTGGTGTGGTTCTGGTGCGATCTTCTTTTTAAACCTCTGGAACACTTTGATGTCTTCAGTCTCACACATGGCCATCTCCTCCAGGTCGGTCTCTGCCAGCGCTGAAGACACAGAAGTCAGGAGAAAGATGAGCACGTGAACGGAGCAGTTTTCAGAGCTGCCACTAAAACCTTCCATATTCTGTTATGTTTCTTACTCTCTGCTAAAGAGGGACAGTCTACATCCCTTTGAGTGCTGCTCCCCTCCTCTTCTCCTTCATCCTTTGTGTCTTCCCCTTTCCCCTCTTCCTCAGGCTCAGTGACCAGCTCAGATTCAGGGAAGAGGAAGGGAGATGTTGTGACGAGGGACACTTCTATTCAGACACAGAGAGACAAAAGACACAGCAGAGACCTTTAATTGCCCATGAATCAGGAAATTACAACTGCTGACTCTTAAGTTTAGATGTACCAACGCTCAAGGTAAAAATGTCAAATTTTATTTTAATTATCATTAGTTATTGTGATACTGGACACTTTAACGTAATTTAAAGTGCGACTGAAGTAGTGTTAAATGAACGATAGCATAATTAGAATCTACCTAAATGATATTAAGTAGCAGCATGTGATTGTTCAGCGGATGGAGGAGAAACAAACAATTCCATTTCTCTTCCAGTGCAGGAGACAAGAAAACACACCTTGGCTGCCACACTCCTTCTTGTGTGTGTGTTTCCAGTGGAGCATCTGGTGGTGTTTTCCACAGTAGGTCACAGTGTGACATCTAGAACAAGCTTTGTTGCCAGGGCAACCACACACCCAACACAGTTTAACCCCAGAGACGGGCAACACTCTCTCCTCGGATTCAGGGTCGCTGAGGGGTTCGTCCTCTGAAGGAAACAAGATTATTTTTCTTTTATAATCAGTCAATCAATCAGTAACATATCAACAAAAACAATAACTGCAATGGAAACTATATTCAACCAGAGAAGGATGATTACATCATCTGAATACCAGGCTTCTGTTCAACCACATGTGAAATGAAAACACAAATTTTAAATAAGAGTTGCAGTAAATATTATCTTTCTTATTATATTCTGTCCAGTGTCCATGCTGATATAAGAAGGTCTGCAAACATGTAAAAATATTGATTATTAGTTGTAGTGAAATGCTTTGTAACAACCTAATAGAGCTACAGAGTCTTGACCGTAGCTTTATAAAGTTTCACAATAGCCCAGTCTGATCCTGATCTTTAGTGGAGGTCAGCACGTGTGATTTTAGATGTGGAACACATTCACATTTAGAAAACATTGGATGACATTTTTGGTTGATGGATCAGAATGTTTACTGACTTCCCGAAAAATGCACAAACCTGGTGGAGGGTCGTAAGGGTAGAACTCATTCCTCCTGGATAGCTGACTTCTGAAAACTGAGTGGAAATGAAGAAGAAAAAGAAGCTATAGTCAGAAATCTACTAAACAACAAACAAGCAGAGAACAGATGAGAAGAAGAGGTTGGCTAGAGAGGAGAATAAATGACAGAAGAACAAAGAAAAAAAGAATGAAGAGAAGATGTCAAGCGCAGATGCTGAGTAATGGTTATTTCCACTGTCAGTTGATCTGCTGATAACTTTTTTAATTAATGTGTGGTCTATAAATTAAAAATTTTTTTTTTTACTAAAAATGTCTTTCACAGTTTCCAACATAACAGAAAAAGTAGAAATATTCACAATTGACACTGCATGTTTGGCAAAGCTGATATGATCACATGATTATGATTAATACATTGATCAAGTCAATGTTATTTCATTCAGCACTTCTGATGAGTGAGACGGGTGTAAGGACAAAGAGGACAAGCTACAGTAATGTTTCCACGTACCTTTCATGCAGCTGCTGTCGTTGGGTGTGTAGCACTCGGGGGTTTTGCAGCAGAACAGGAGGAGCGATCTGTGGAAACTCCAGTCCTGACTTGAGATCGGTGCGTACACCTTCAGCAGAGAGGGAGACGGTTAACTACACACTTCAGGGCTGCTGGTTCAGGGACACAATCAGCTGCAGTTTAGAGGAGACTGGCCTTTGACTGAGGAAGTGGCATCACAGGTCATGCAGCAGCTTTATAATACATGAGAATGTTCATTCACAGCATTAACTCTCACTAATACAATTGTCAGCTTGGGTGTTTCCAGTTCATGGGACAAAATCCCACCCTGAAAGTCAATATCTCCTGAATCTGATCATCAAGTGTTTCTCTTTTTGTGCGCTAACTTTATTGTGATGTATAATGAGTTGATCAGCTGACACTTCTCAGGAGGTGGTCCGCTGACAGTGGAAATATCACCCAGTGCTCAGAGAACTGCAACCACGTGAAGTCAGCTCTGGATCGGACCACTCCCTGTTATATAAAAACTGAGCTTGTGTGTTTAAGTTATCCACTCACCTGCAGCAGAAAGGCCATGGGCAGGCGGCATCTCTCACACTCCAGCTCGGCCAGTGAGGGCAGGCCTCTCCGGCTGAGCCACGCCGGCTTCCCCCCGACTTTACTGGGGAACTGTGGCGACCGAAGCCGCCAGGGCTCCGCATCCTCCAGGAAACCCAGGACTACCTCCGCCGGAGACTCCCTCCCATCGCTGGACATCATGTAGCGGAGGTTACGTGTCTGTCCAGTGGACAGGTTGTACTCACTGAGAATAAACTGTCCCGTGGAAGAAAATATCCTCCAGGACCTGTCACAACAAAACACATGCAGCGCTGGTACAGCTCCGTAAAGCGTCCGTGAGGAAACAAACACATTAGAGCCACTGCTCGGTTCCGCATTTCCCGCAGCTCTTGTAGAAATCTTGTGATGGTGAATAAACCTCATGTAGATTTGTATGATGCACGATTCACTGTCAGAAATGAACATTTAACCGATAGAGTGAGGTTTGATTATATCTTACTAGTCTCATGTTTCTTGATCTCTCGCTAGATGGCGCACATGTCCTTTTAGTAATAGGAACAATCTTAATAATCGTAATAAAACTTCATTTATCTAGCACTTTTCAAAAACAAGTTTATAAACATAAACGTTGAAACACAAAGACATAATAAATCTAGTTAAAAGCCACAGTAGCAGTAAGTAGTCAGGTAAGTGAATCTGGTGGAAAGGTCAGTCTATACTCCAGTAAACAGTGGAGATGTATGTTGATATTCACATGTTGTGACTCATGTGTTGTTGAGGATTTCTCTGGGGTCACAGGGTTCACTCTGTTTAATCTGATGAAGCAAAATACACGAACAACTAACGACTAATAAAACTAAACAAAATAAAACATAACACACACACACACACACACACACACACACACACACACACACACACACACACACAGTGATGTCATTGGAAGCTCCGGACACTCTCTCTCTCTCTCTCTCTCTCTTCCTCAGTCTGATGAAATGTGAGTGAACCATGACGCTGCCTCTGCTCAGTGTGTGTGTCTGTGTGAGTCTGTGTGAGTCTGTGTTGTGATGAAGTTTCAATCTTTCTAACTCAGCCATGGCGACTAGAAGGAAGCGGACACAATCGACGTCAAACTCGGTTGACAAGCGGCTCTGAGTCCCGGCAGATCACGGACTTTAATGGACGATGTGAAAACTGGACCGAACCGGGACTGACGCTCCTGCCTCCAGCGGTAAGTCACCCTCCTCCTCCTCCTCCTCCCCGGGTCCGATGCCTCCGCGGGGCGACGCGAGCTACAAGCCGGCGCCGGTGTCCCCTGCTCCGCCCGTCCCGCCGAGGAGGGTCAGGAGCCGGGACAGGGGCTCCGGCAGGACGCGGCGCTCTGGGGCAGAGGCAGGGGCAGGGTCGGCGGAGAGGCGGGTGAAGTGTGTGCTGGTGGGGGACGGAGCTGTGGGGAAGACCAGCCTGGTGGTCAGCTACACCACCAACGGATACCCCACCGAGTATGTGCCCACCGCCTTCGACAACTTCTCAGGTAAAGGATGGAGCTCACACCAGCAGGTCTGACCTCAAACACTTCAATCTGATGATCAGAAGAAGTGATTCTCATTTCTATAATATCTGAGTTAGGATGTGGTACTGAGGTATATTTGACAGCAGTAAGTTAAAGAAGGACTCATCATCAATTCACATACAGAACAATACATTTAACTGATAAAAAAATACTTGATTAAACGTGGATGTATTATTATTATTACATTATGGATATATCCATCTCTCTCCCTCTCTCTCTCTTATATACAGTATATATACAGTCTATGGATAAAACAGTTATTGTTTTCTGGACATTTTGACCATACAGACCTAGACAGTGGAAAGCTACACTACACTTGTTATTTACCTGTGTGTGTGTGTGTGTGTGTGTGTGTGTGTGTGTGTGTGTGTGTAGCTGTGGTGTCAGTGGACGGGCAGCCAGTCAAACTACAACTGTGTGACACAGCTGGACAGGTCAGTAATCTCAACACACACGCACTCACAGACAGAGCAGCATTTCCTGTTGTTGCTGTATTTAGGTTGGGGACAATGCCTCAGGGGAAGTGATTTCTTCTTTCTCTCTGGAACAATGCTAACAAAATATCTTCTTTGTTAAAACTTAACAAACATCTTGTGTTCTGTCCTGGAAACTCAGAAGTGCTACTACCAATGTCTTTAAACGTTTCATGTAAATACATTTAAGGTTTGCTATACTTGCCGGTCACCATTTGGCTTTATACAACAAAAGAGAATCTAGTACATTAGGTTGTAAACTCCAGATAAAGGTGCACAATACTTCAGATACATGTAGTGTCAGCCACCTATAAAAGAATAAAACTATTATAATTAAAGTATTAAAACTGTAGCTATAAATATTGTGAAGAAATCATCATCATCCTCTGTATCCGTCTGTTCTCAGGAAGAGAGAACGTCAGAGAGGAGAAACAAACATATCTTCATAGTTTATTATCAGTATCCCTAGCATTGTACACACACCCACACACACACTGAGCTGCACTAGATTCAGATGCTTTTTGAGATGCCCCAGTATTTTTTGTTGGGTGAATTTCTGTATTTATCTCACTGCCTTCGACCTTCTCACGGACACTTACTCTCTCTCTCTCCCACCTTGTCCAGGACGAGTTTGATAGGCTGCGTCCTCTGTGTTACACCAGTGCAGATGTCTTCCTGCTGTGCTTCAGTGTTGTCAGTCCCGCCTCTTTCCAAAACGTTCCTGAAAAGTGGGTCTCAGAGATTCGCAGACACGCCCCGTTCGCTCCACTCGTTCTGGTCGGGACACAGTGTGACCTCCGAGAAGATGTCAAGGTGTGGAAGCATTTTAACTTCACTGTTCTTAAATCACCAAGTGTGTAGCTCTAATGTTTGTTTCTCATTGTTAGACTTTCTGACACCATGTAAAAAATCGGTCAAAAGTTGTAATGAAAACAATTACTGACTCTAGTAAAAATGATAACTTGTCCATTTGCTAAAGTGACATGTCAAAATGTCTGCTTTAATGAGTATAAATAGTGCATCATAATTTCAATGCAATGTGCTTGACATAAAGGTAGAAGCCACACCTCTGACATGTATCATGTTTAACCTGATTACTATCTTGTAACTGAACTTGCACTAATGCCTGAGTATGTACAAAGGCTTCACAACTTTAGAAATCATTTGCAGCATGTTTACCAAATGTTTGAAAGCAGTATTTAGAATTTCCCTATTTGTGATCAGAAGAGTCTTTATAGTAAAAGTGTCGTCTCTTCTGTTTAGGTTCTCATTGACCTGGCGAGGTATCGGGAGCAGCCCATTGAGCCAGCAGACGCCTGGGACTGTGCGATGGAGATCGGAGCGGTGGCCTACATGGAGTGCTCCTCTTTGACCCAAAAAAACCTTAAAGAAGTGTTTGACACAGCCATACTGGCCAGTCTGCAGAACTACAGCTCCCAGAAGCTCCCGAGAGGGAAACAAAAACGACAGAAAAAGCAAAGGCAGACACCGGACAAGATGAAGAGTCTGTCAAAGTCATGGTGGAAAAGGTACTGTTGTGTGGCCTAGAGCAGACCTGTGATCAGATTGGGTCTCGCTGACTCTGAACCTCCGTTGACTTTATCCTGGTCTGGATTCTGCTGAGTTTGGGTTCTACCCAGACTCGCTTCCTCTGTAATGGAGCCTGATGTTGAGCAGGATCTCGACTGGAGTGTGGCTGAGAACCAAAGTAAGACTGTCATGCATCTCAAATTCTTTAGATTGTCTTTAGAGATGGGTTTTAGTCTTATCATGGATGAGATTTACTACTGAGCCCAGCCTGGTTCTATTAGACCCCAGAAAACCAAGCAGTGCTCCTGTGGGTTTTTGTGCTGACATTTCCTTTTTCTCTAACCTGGTTTTAGATCCAGTTTCTGAGCTGGAGAAGCTGCTCCTCGCTCTCCTGAAATGTCACTGGTATGAAACAGGAGTTTTTATGTGTGACAATGTTGTTTAGACTGTTTCAGATAGCCTTGTTTTGTCGGTCAGAGGGACGTGGCCTGTCCTCAGACTACAACTGTAATTGTTGGTGACCTTAACAAAACTACATTCACACTTATTTTTATAATAGTTTCTAACTGAATCTGACAATACTTGTAAATATTAGGGATGACTGAAATCGATTGGCTGTCAGGGCAAACCTTGTCTTTATATACATAATGACAGTAGAGCAGAGCGAATCGTTTCATCACTGAATATGATTAATGTTAGAACTTAGTCAACAAGTATAGCCCGTGGTTAATTTTAGAGCTTTTTTTTATCACTGGGGTGATTGTTTTCTAATGAAAGAACGCATTTCATTAAGCAGCTAATAATTTTATCCCGGTCACATGTGGTGCAGCCAGCAAACCTAATCTGGAACCTGCACCATGGTTAATATCTGACTCTGTTTTTTGATTTATTTACCTTCCCCCCAGAGTGAAGCCAGACTAAGTTTGGTCAATGAAAAACTTTACACTCTCTTAAGAATAACATTTTATTTTCGTGGTTCAAAATCAACACATGCATTTCTTAACTCCAACCAAAATAAGTGGAGAGTTAAACCTACACACATATCTTAAAAAGCAGCAAAGGATGCTGAACAATGAAACATGTCCAGTCTGTCTGAATATATGATGAAAACAAAAGCACCACTTTCAAAGTTTTATCCCGTAGTCAGGGACCTGCTTCAGCTCTCCACTGGTAGCTGTGCCAGTTTATCATCCTCATCTGTCTGACCTTGTCACTGTAAGATTGTACAGTCTGAGAAAATTGATGTGGTTTTGTTAAATATAAATCTTTGTGCGGCTGTGGTGGTTAGCTGTAGTCAGGTTAGCACTTGATCTTAACGGGAGGGGAAGACATTTTGCAGTTTTAGTGTTTTGCTCCTCTTCACCATGATCATATTGGATGAATGTTGAAATATAAAACTTGCATCAGCAGACAACAAAAACTAAAAATTAGTTTTAGGTATTTGTTCTGCTTTGCTGCATGTTTGACTTATCTTATAAGATGCATAAGCCTTAAGCATGAGCACTAAATATGAATTCAACCAAGTGCTCTTTGCATGTGTTTGAATTTACAAAATAAACTCAGCTGTTTGACTGTGTCAGTTTGTAGCAAGAAAAGAGCCGAATGAAATAAACACAGTTTAAATTTTTTCTTAGGCCTTCAATGCAATTGTGTGTGTAAGACTGTGAAATTTCTACCATGTACATATTCAGTGAAATATTTTCTAAGTAGCTATAAACTACAGTTTGATACGTCTTGTTTGTTGCTCTACATTTGCTCCATTTACCCTAAATCTGATCCTCTGCGTTCATTAGCCACAGGTCACGCTACAGAGACACCCATTGTCCACCACGTGTCTGCTGTATGCTCTGTCAGCTCTGCAGCCTGTTCACTCTCAAACAGATCACATTTTATATGTTGGTAGAGCAGAAATAAACAGGCAAACTGAAACACTAAATGTGTAGTAACACTCAGCTGCCACACCTTCCTTTGTGCTTTAACACATGAGCACAAGCCCAGCATTTAAAACTATCTCTCCACAGTGCCTACAAGTGAATGGCCCTTTGTATTTTAGAGTCACTGCAGCAGCAGGAAAGAAAGAGGTTTAAGTCAGACTGAAGCAGATCCGCTGTGGTTCAGCAGCGTAACCAAACTGTGGAGCCCCTAGTTCCGAAATTTATTTTTTTATCATGTTTGCACAACATAATGAAGCTGAATGTGCACACAGGGAAAAACATATTGCCTTTTAGGACTCTAAGGGTTTTCAGTTTACATTTCTTAACTCAAACTTAAACATAAATCTTTAAACATGTCTGACTAGTAAGAAAAGTTTCTGAGACTGTTGTAATGTAAAAGTGAAGGTGCAACATCGGTCTCCACCCAGCAATAATTCATGTGTAAATATATTTTATTACTAGTAAGTTTCTGACCATATCTCTTTGAAAGTCAACAATAACCCTGATCCAGAGGGGGATTCAGTAAATCCGGGGCTGAAGGTGACTCATATCTCATGTTTCTGTGGAGAAATATATGTTAGCCCAAAGCTAAAGGACCTGTTATACATGAGCTACCAGTAATCTTATCCCAAGTGTGAAAGTGGAGTAGTTTTCTGGAAAAATGTTTTTACCTCTTTCTTTCAAGCATGTGGTTCAAAGTTAGTTTCTCTACTGGTGTGAAGTGGAGTGAGCGGTTGTGTGCCTTGAAATCATCACCATAATTATTTTGAATGCAACTATACTATGAAGAACTGGTGAAGAGTTTTATCTAAATCAATTCAACAAACTGAGATTTTTCCAGGTGAGGTTCAGACACCAAAACTTATTCCAGATTGTTTTCACCCTCTACCAAGTCTCACAGCTAAAACTGCATGTTGACACCAAGATACAGTTTCAAAAGGATTATCCTCCAAAGACGTCCTCATGTAACCCAAACTGATCCTGCACCAGCACTGACAGTGTTGCTCTTCAAGACAAATCTGAGAAAAGGCATCAGGTTGAAACATTATCCTTGTGTTGCGTTCAGGTGTTCACTGTAAATCTGGGACTCCTGATTTTAGGACCGTGCTCCGTTGGAGCTGTGTGGTTGATTTCTGTTGAGGATGCTACTGCTGCGACTCAATGGGCTCACTGTGTCCATGTTTAACTTCATGATAGCAAATGTATTGTTTCTTACTGGGGGGAGAGGCATAATAAGTTGCTTGTCTCTGTGTTTGTCTGCAGTCTTGGTCGATGGTTGGATTTAATTTGACCGAAGGTCACGCAGATCTTTATGATCGCCTGCATTTCCTCTGTCACGTTTTTTTTTTTTCTCATCACATTGAGTTTTGTTTGCATGCAGCATGTGATGCAGGCCTGCTTTTCTATTGAGGACATTATAAAATCAATCATTTCTGTTTAAATACATCAAAACAGCACAAATTACTTCTTGGTATGTTGCCATTTGATTAATCCACAGTAGCTTGCATGTGTCTGATGAGGATTTCAGACAGAAAGTGTCTTTGTTTAGGTTCTTCTCTCTTTAGCCAGTCTATAACACCCATACACGGAAATTATCATCTTCTCTAAACTACACACTTGCCTTGACTGACATTTTTGGAGTAATGTGATGTGCTGAGATGTAGTTTAACAGTAACACAACTAGATGAGATCCATAGAACCAGCAAACTGACTCAATAATGTTTCTAACTAAAGTTTAAAAAAAAAAACGACTAGTTATTTCAGACCACGTTCGGCTCCAGCAGCGAAACCTCTGACTGTGTTGAATTAAACAGTGAAGCATGTTTCTGCTTATCGATTCATTATTTTCATGTGCAGGACTGAGGTTGTGTAATTTCTTCTTTGAAACCAGAATTGGCTGGTTGATGCTCAGCAGTGTGTGTCCTGTATGACAGATGTATGGCCCTGGAATGTAGAACAGACAGGTCTCTGGAAGTGAACTATCCTGTGTTATATGGAGACATGATGGTGAGTGAGTATTGTGCTGCAAAGCTGGTGTTTTGGTGAAGGTAAGATAGAAATGTCATTTTTGTGTGTTTGGGACAAAGTCTGTTGCTCTGATTGCCATTAAGAAATGTACAGGTGTATATATAAAGACAATGGCTGACCTCAGATTCAGCTTCAGTGATTTATTTGTCGTCTGGGCAGGATTTCCTTCTGCACAAAAGAATAAATGACAAGTTTACTTATAATTAAATCAATTATTACATTGATCAAAGTTGGTGCAGGTTTGCCTATGTGCTACTTGCAGTAGTGCTCAAATCCTCTCAGTGTGGATACTTGAAATACGTTTTCATTTTTTATTTGCTTCAGTGTTTAATGGTGGAAAGTAAAAGGGGAATTCAGGTATTTTCTAACCCTATGTTTATAAATGTGGATGTGTAGATTAATGGCCCTTAAAACTTTTGGAATCTTTCCAATATACCCCCTCCACCCGCAGCCCTAGCTACAATGTAATCTTATGGGGCAACTGCGACATTCCATGAAATGTCCTCTCAAAGTGCTTTTTCACCAATAAAAGGCTCAAATGTTATATGATTACATTCTAGCCACGGCTGCTGTGTTGCACGGTGAAGATATACTAAACCAGATCAATAATTCATTTTCACACCCACTTAGGGCCCTGGTTTAAAAAATACTGTAATTCCCCTTGAAGACAAGTCATCCAGATGTGCACGATAAAACTGAAAGGTTTTCTGTTTTTTGTTTAATTTTAGCAAATCCATTATCACTCTTTATTTAACATGGTAGTTACACCAAATATAAAGCCAGATTAGAAATCATTCATTGACATTGTACAACAACATGAATTGCACGTGAACATTTAGCCCAGACTTAAATCCAGAAGAGACAACCTGGGGAAATGAACGAAACATTTCATTCTTGAGATTTAATTATTTTCTCATTGAGCTTGATACCAACAGTAACACAGCTGAGCTCACTGACATGGAACACCAGCTGAGAACTTCTCTTAGCAAACCAGTGCTATCGTTCTGTGTAAACCACCACTGTGTGTTCATTTTTCCTGCAAATGAAAACATGGTAACAGATAATACGCTGCTGCGATCTGTTCGATCGAATTCTCTGTTGAACTGAGGATGTCAAACAAAGGAAGATGTGTTTGTACAAACGTTTTATACCCTGAGAAATAAAGATTATCTGATTTAATTCATGCTGTGGTTTGTTGATTTTGAGGCTTGGTGCTCAGTGGTGGGACTGGGAATGTGTGTGTTTAAATATAACTCCTGAACGTATGTAACCTTACTGTACCTCAGCCACGTCACAAGAGCACCCAGGCTGTAAATGAGAATATCTGTTTTGTTTTTAAGTATTCACGTGTACACAGAGGTTGTCTGTATCATATTTGTAGAATTCTGTAGCTGTTCACCAGCACAATTTCACAAGTTTTATCAGAAAAGAAGCTTTAATTAATCATCAGAATGGTGCAAGGAGAGCAGACTCTCAACTGCTTTTCTTAAGGTAAACACATGGGTTTTCTTGCTTGCATGGGCTCTTGTGTTGGATGTGTGTTTTCATGTTGTAGCTGATTTGATGATTTTTGCTTTGTGATAACCAAGTGCAACAGCTTTGCTGGCTGCAGTCAGCTGATGCACATCAAGAGAGAGGTGATAAGATGTGAGTAAGTTTGGGGGCAAGGAGTCACACTCATAGAAACACAAACATAGACACAGAGTGACTCACACACACACACACACACACACACACACA